AAAAGTTAAACAGGCGATATTATCGCTTCAGCTCTCGCAGCGACGCCGAACTGATTCGACCATTCTGCACTTAGAAAAAAAACATAGGTCATCTATGTGATGTTTTATATATTTTTGCACTGTTTTTGTTTGGGCAAAACGTGAATTACCTCGGGTTAATGTACTCAATATAGTCGAGAATTAGAATTAATCAATATAGAAACCCAAATTCAAATCCCGTTGGATGTTAAATTAACAATTTCATTCGGGTCGGCACCGGGTATAGAGGTCAAGTTGCTCCAGTATATCGAATTAAAAGCGAGCGTCAGGACAATGATCTATCACGGCTCACAGAAATATATAATTCACAAAGAGTTTGACTCATTTTGTCTACAACTTATCTGCCTATTTTAAATTTGAGAGATTGATTACATGGAAGTAAAGGATTACAATCTTTACGAATGGGATTATGTTTCATATTGCGACTACAATTTCCAATAATTGTATAAGGCCCTCTATGCCTAATAACGTACTGAAAGCACAAAGCATTGTATGTGCTATCTTAATATAGCTACACACGTCTATTGAGCATGTATGTTTAATCTCAGTATGTACATATATAATATAGCTTATACATATGCCGTGTCCCGGCGCTCTCTTTTAATACAAAATACTCGAGCAATCTTTTTTGAAATCCAAATTTTATGTGTCGACTTACCACTTGCTCAGCTCCAAACAAAAGGCAAACATCGTGCGAAATTCTGCGTATTTTCGAAATAATAATAATAGCAAAAAAAAACATTGCGATATATTAAAGACTAAGTTGGTTGGCCAAAATAAAATACCTAGTGATAAAAGTTGCTTACGCTATTAGTATAGCGTAAGCAACTTTATATTTATATACCAATTTGGCTACTTTCTAGGGACGAGGGCAGAGTACGTCCTATATTAAGGGTAAGAGACTTCTCCCCTAACACTGATTAAGACTGTGTTGGCGTGAGGATACACATGTAGGGAACTTTGCTTAACTAAGCCTACCGGCGTTCCATGATCATGTTGCATTTCAGTCTTTTGCAGGAATTCCGTGACGTCGTACCCACACACCTTTCTTCTATCCAAAAAATTGAGAAATACACATCGGACCACCATCCCTATTCACGTCGCCCATGGTTGTACGATCATGGGTCTAATCTTTTGTAATGCGAACAGCTTTATTTTTTTAACTGATAATGTAGCAAGCGATATGGCGTTTCACCTAATGTTAAGCGATAACTGCCGCCTAAATGTGTATCATTTACAACACACACAGGGCTGCATATCCGTTGCAGCCTTTTAATAGTGTGTACCCGACTACCTCAGTCACCAGACGAAGCGGAGAAATAGAACAACTTCACACAGGTATTCCGTATGAGGTCGTGGTACTTACCCTAACGGAGCTGCCCATTCCTATAACAGCGAAAGCTCTCGCGTGGCCCTACCATATAGTGTACATAACAAGCGCCTTCAAGGTCATCGCCGTCATGCTTTCCCTTATCCCATCTAGATGGAGTCGACCTCAACCTGCACGATCGACCTCGACCCTCCTTGAAGACAAACACGCACATCCAGAACAATTATCTTGGGGCACACAAATACTTGTCCAGTGTGGTTATTGAACCCACGACCCCTCACCGACGACAATATCAAGGGCCTTCAAGACCAATAAATAATAATTAAATGTAATTTTTACCGAGTTAGTCTCTTAAAATAATAACCTATAGACAAAAGGAAGGTGGCAACCCACTTAAGATTAACATTATGATTAGATATTAGCAAAATTATATTAATCGTACTTTTGGTAAAAGACAAGCCAATATGACTTTCATTTTATATTTAGTTATTTTTGCTATAAGTCTATATTGAAGTCAAAGAGGTTGGTCAAGGACCCATTTCATAAACAGTTACAAGGAAGAGATTCTATAAAATGACAGCTAAACTTTGGGTAGGACAAACAAATAAAACAATAAATATAAACATAGTTATAATTATTTTGACACCGTCAACTCGTAAATTTTATTATAAGTTACCAATGATAGTCTCTTATATTTTAAGTGTAATATGTGATAAAATAAAATCCTAATGAAATGTAGATTACAATACAGTTATACAAGTATTAAACAAATAGAATAGTGTTCCCTAAGCCCGATATATATAAAAGGATTTTATTCGTGGAGAAATGTTATCCAATTGTGAAGACCATTAATCTATATACACTTCCCCATTTTAACTTTAAGGATATATCATCTTAAATCTAGTACCCAGCAGGACTGTGACTAGAATTAATATATAAATGGAAAATTAATATCATATCATATGTTAAAACCAACAAGTTACAAAAAAGAAATTGATACAAATTAACAATGCAAGCGATTATCTTAACACACTGTAACATAACAATTATTGCAATCACAATACATTTTTGTAACGGCAGACCGTCCATGTTGTGGTAAGACTATATAGTTCGCATACAATTTTTTTACAAGTGACGGAGAAGATTATCCAAATGCAATTACAGTGTCACATTCCACAGCTTTGTTTACAATAGACTAATATCAGGTAGTACCTAGGAACTATTACTTAAACCAAACGCCATTCCCGTGGTTAGCACGATCGGGATTTAAGGGAATGTTATTTTTTTCATATTGGTGCAGAATGTGACAAAATCGCGTCGCTAGACTAATTTGCGATATATTGCAATGTTTTTCAGTTAACAGACCGTTAACCACCTTCTGTATCCATCGGTGTTAATCTAAGCCATACCATTAAAATGTCTTTCCTATTAATATCTACCTAACTCAACTATAACTACGGGTTGGATATTTTCTTCTTCGATTGTTTACTTTGTGAATTTCACAATCTATGGTACTATAATAGTCTAAAATATTTAACAATCTAATAAATTTTCAGTCCAGCGCTATTGAAAAATTGTATTTTAATTTTATACCTATCAAGAGAACTGAATTTCGACTTTATAATTATCAGAAGAACTAAATCCTCAACAGAATAAATATCATTAAATTAAAATGTAGAAAAGTTGTAAATTAGACTGTTTTTGGTAACATAAATACTCTTCAGAAAATACTCGTTTTTCGAGAAAGAAACTCTTAATACACTTAGGCCAACAGAAAAATTTCTTCCCTTTTTTTTAAAGGAGTGACAAAAGAAATACATAATATTTTTCGAGGTATTGAAATCATGGTGAAATTTCAAAAAAAACTCATCATAAATACTATTCACCGAAGAGAATGTGGTGAGTAACAGCGAAAATCGCATGTGACAACTGAAATATAGTACTCGTCCGATAAATATTGCAACATCGACCTTTAGAGAGATAATCAGCATATATTTTGGCATTCTTAGAGCGTTACCTATATGTGACGTTTGTCAGTCGTTCTACAAGTGTGCGACGGATATAACGCTCTACGAAGCCGACTTTATAGCCGATTGTCTCTTTCCAAAAGTCATGTTGCAATATTTACCGACGTGGACAGTAATGGCACTCGATGGTGGTTTCAAAAGCGTTACAAAAAGATTTAACATGATTGGCGCCGTGTTTGTTCCATTACCGTTTATCTAAAAGTAACAATCCTTAAAATTAATTAAACTATGCACTGTAATGCTAACAATACATTCACACAGCCCGAACGATATCATAGGGTTCGGATTTTACAAAAAGAAATTATGTCTATGGACGCTACGAAATCAAATCCGATAAATATCAATTTTACGTGTCAGTTATTCGAAAACTTAAAATAGACAATTAAAAAAAATCGCTCGATTTTGATGGATTATTTAAGCCTACTTAACAAATGTGTCCGAACCCAATGTGTTTAATAGGGAGTTCATTTAATATTTAATCCCACAAAGCTACTGTAGTGTGGAGCTAAAACATTTCTGCCACATCGCCTAAACAGAATACACAAACATCCAACTTACGTTATGGTTAATAATTAAAATTGACAATTTAAATATTGAAAAGAAAATATGTCGAGTCAATAGAAACAGATAGCATGTGAAGATCACAACGATACTGTCGTTAATATCCACTTGTAGAAAAATGCTTTTGGTCAAGATCAAAATTGCACGAAAATGTAAAGGGCATCTTGGTCAAACCACACTGGCTAGAGGCCAAAGAGAAAGATTCGGCTCTATGTCAAAAATAGCGCTTGATGAATCCAGTGTTGAGTTGTGCACACTGCATAAACTTCATCGTTTGAGGCAGGAGCGACGTTAAACATGGTAATATCATTAATTATGTATAACTATCACGAAGTGTTGCCAAACTTATCATCTCGCTAAAGTCGCTAATTTGGCCTATATATCATCCAGTATGCTGACCACATCTAAACGTAAAAAGGTCTGTGTGCATTGTCCTAAGGCACCTTATTTATCGTGTTCCTCATTTTTTGTACTACACCACTGCATAAAAGGTCGTTATTCTGAATAATTTTTACTTTTGACTCACTTTATAGACTTCATTTTAGGCTATACATTTAATGTGATGTCAATAACGTATAAAAGATAGATAGACCACGAATCACATTTGCTTTTTACATGCGTTAACAAAGAGCCACAAAAACTGTCTGTCAATCGTCAAATATAAACGTGATGTTGTCGGTAAAATTAAAAACTATATAATTAATAATAAATAAATAAATATTTTAATAACACAACACAGCAACACAACGTTCACATTAAATTTTAAAATGAATAGCCTTCCTTATACATTAAAGAATATAACATAAGCAAAAAGTTAAAATTATTTATAGAGTAACGAAAACTCAGCAATGGGAAATTTACCTTTTCCATTTTGCTGCTGTATCGATCTTCACACGATATTGTTGACAGTATCGTTGTGTTTGCAACGCCTCGCTACAATTTTACGCATACTGAAAATAACAAACGAAAAGGTCCCATATAATAAGGAAGGTAATGTTCTCATTAAAACCGATGGTGCAACGTGCCAAGTCCACTAACATTCACGAAACAGTACCATAACCCTGGCTAAGAACCGGAGGATTGTGATCCAGATGCCTCAACCAAAGACCGAACATCAACTTGAGAACATGCATTATGCAATTGTACATCTCACCCTCATTAACGTTGTTATTTTCGTCCCAATACGTCAACTTCTTACCAAAACCAACCAGGGACACGAAACGCAGGAACAGCTTGCCTAATCTATTGCGCAATAATGGTCTATTATCCTTATCATCCATGTCGCTCTCGGTACAAATTCGACAGTTGCAAAAGTCCTCAACTTCAACTTCCACCGACTCGGTGTTGTCTATGGTCGTTTCTGAACTGGCAACATTCTCATCAACAAGCAATTTAGCAACGTTCTCTTTGAAACCGGGTGCAATACATTCATCTTTATTTTCTATCGTATCCATGTCTGTTACGATGATTGTAGGTACTGTGAGTTTATTGGAATCTAAACAACTGCGGGACGACAAACTCCTTTGAAGTGTTCGAATGCTCCGAATACCTTCACTGTAATCTTCATTGACATCTTTAAATATTACTTTATTGCTTTTTACTATATTCTCCGCGGACCCACTGCGAGTATTAAGACCATATTCAGCCAGGTCTTCTGCACTCTTAAATTGAACCTGTGATGTACATCGCTTCATTAGAACTTTCTTTCTCAAATCGGTGCTAAATTTCCTCGCCTCCTCGTACCACACGTTCTGCGTCGTGCCAGTTCTTCTTTGCCGCATAGGTTTGAACGTCTCTTCTTTTCTCTCCCCGTCTTCCATATCAATCGATCCAAACGACACACTGCTTGCCAATGGCATCCTCATTTCCAGCCCGGGCTCATCGTCGGTGTGCACCTCTAAGCCCTCATCCAAACTCTTATCCGTATCTTTGGCCTCATCGAAGAAACTTTTAAACGAGAAGGTCTTCCGCAGCTTCCTCACTTCGGGCGAGAGGCCGCCGCTCTGCGTCTCCACGCCTTTGTAGCTCTTCAGCACGTGTAAGGCCGTGCTCTTGCTCTCGTTCCACATAGCGTAAGATGCCCGCCTGCTTCTCAGTTTCGCCGGAGAAGCGGGCACATCCTCGAAACTTCTGTAGAGCTCCAGAGCGCGGCCGTCGCTCTCGTTCGAGTTGAGAGTCCACGAGGACGATGACGTCGCGTCCGACCAGTCCGAGCTTAGAGTGCTGAGGTATTTGAAAATCTCGATGCCACCGTCGAGCGATATCGACCGCTGCAGCGGTATGTCGTGGTTGAACCTGTAGTCCTGCAGTTCGCGCCCGTCCTCCTCCTGCGCGTCCTCGTGTATCTCTTCGAATCTCGTCCCTAGCCAGTTGTCGACCTCGCCGGTGTTGAGGTTCAGACTGAGCTCCTGCCGGAGGTCGAGCTCGGGCTTGGGCCGCTTGACCTCCGAGTAGCGTCTGAACTTGTTGGCGGGCGTGTTGGTGCGGGCTGTGGGGTCGGAGTGCCTACGCGGTGGCGGCGGCGGGGCCACCGGCCGCGGCCGCCTTGCCGAGCGATGAGAGCGGCCGGGGGAAAGTGCCCACGGCGAGATCAGACTCAGCAAAGAGCTTGCGAAAACTGATGAAGGAGAAAGGGCGGGGGAGCGAGGTTGAGGGGGAGGGGGGAGAGATTAGACAAACGATCAGTCGCGCCGTCTACGACATATACGGAACAGCGAAGTATTGAATAGAATTACACTATAACGACATCGATCTGTTTGCGTATTAAAGGAAATGCAGTTAGAACTAAATTTATACATGAATCGGTTCTCCGCACGCACAACCAAACTCGATTATATAGAAAATTTTAGTAAACAGAAATCGATATCGGAAAATATTTATCTCGATTTAATTTAATAGATCGTGATAAGTTTGTTAATAATAATAATTTTATTCGATGCTTCGTATCTAGAGAATAAGTTAGTATTATGTTCAATTTCTTTTATCATATAGAAGAAACAAGTTACATTAACTAATATCCACATTACTTAAGTATCGTCAATAAAGTTAAAATATTTACATTCGTCTAAAATATCTGTACAAAACCCTATACACATATCTATATAATATGTATAATTATAATCTATTCCGGACCAAAATGTAAATCATAATTAAGTAAAAACGGTCCGTTCCATTCTTTATAATAAAACGTGACAACGTTTACTTAAAATTAATTTCGTTCCTTCAAAGCAAGCTACAAAGCGGATATTAGCTAAATAAATTGCTTCATCGATATAGTAATTTGTAATTAAAGCGTGAGCGTGAAAAACTATCTTCTTAATAAAAATTGTTTCAAGTAAACAAAAATATGCCAGTACTGAAAGTGCTGAAAAACAAGTCCTGAGTAAGAAAAATGTAGGTTTTACAATAGTTTAATTGTTTTTCGCGCACAATAACGCTTTACTTAAAAACAGAAACTTAGTGTTTACATAAAAATTATCTGCTATACTTATATCGTTCTTAATTGGTCTGATATTTGTATTTATAAATAGAGAATAGAATAGAAAATCATCGACTGTGATTATTTGATAACTTACTGTTAGGATAAGATACTTTTCAGGAAAATTTACGAAACATCTGACCATTGTGGGGACAACTAAGTTTAGCAGAGAAACTAATAAGCGGGATATACGAGCCTTTGTACTGAAAGCTTAGTCTAGGCATTGAGAGCTCCATATCAAATGAATGGATTAGTGATTAAGTGGACAAAATTGATGACTCTAATTTGATCAAATCCAAACGGCAAAATAATTTAGAATAAAAAAAAACATTATAGGCCTATTAGGCTTTTGGAGAAAAAACGTTCGCCCACGCATAAAGGCGGCGTCACACTAAAGTGATATGGGCGCGCTTCGTGGAGTTTCGAATAACAAAAAACACCACAGGCCTGTACTAGGCTTTCGGACAAAAGACGTTCGCCCGCGCATAAAGCCGGCATCACACTAAAGTGGTGGTGGCTTCGTGGCGGAATACCTTTGCGCGTCGCAATCAGTACCAAGGGCCGAAAGAGATCCGCGGCGGCGGCGTGCGGGCGCCAGAGTCGCGTGACGTCATCGCCAGCCAGAACCTAGCCGCACACACGCAACCACAACAATTGAGGGCTCAAAGGGGCAACACAAAACGGCAGACACGTGGACGAAATAAATGAAAGAAAAGAGACGGGGATATAAATTAAAGTGAAACAAACAAACAAAAAGATGTACAATCGACCGAGAAAGCGTTTGCTTTTGTCGTTCCGATTGCTCATATGTTTTCCAATCAAATATTCTAATTTTCTAAATTCTTTGCCAGCCATCGTAATGATAACCTTTACATCGAATTACTAAGTTAGGTAATCGCAAATATAATTATAACATCAATGTATAGTTTTTCATGTATAGGAGAAATTTTATTACAAATACCATTAAAATAACATATGGATTTTTTGTGATGACTGTACATTTCATGTCACAGTGTTGTGCAGGAGTAAATATATTATGTCACGTACAACATTCAAAGGATAGACAAATGCGATAAACATCAAGTGGTGTGAGAACAGATTAAAATTAAAAAAAAAAAACAAAGAGAGAAAAAAGGAAAAGAAGGGATGGGGTACTGTGGTGAAGCGAGTAAGCTTGGAGCACTAGTTTACAAAGTTCACTGAAACTCATGCAAAACCGTGCGTCGTGGGTAGTGTTACGTTGATCTCTTTCGGCCCTGGTCGCATTTTCCAATCATTCACATTGTTTAAAGCCACCTAGAGGTAACGGGCAGAATTTTGTAAAAAAAAAAAGAATTTAATAAAAAAATAAAACTAACCAAACGGTTCGCCGTCGATTCGGACGTTATGTTTCAAACATGCTCAGCACTACAACCCCAGTACATAGATAAAAACAATGTAGAAAATGTACCAGAACCAAATAATAAAGCGTTGTGTGAGTGTAAAGAGAGAATAAAAAGAAATACATAAAACGATAAATAACATGTTAGTATCCATACGCTAATAATATCAATAATATTAAATAAACAAAGTTGCAACTGATGTGGCGAAAATGATTATTTTACATATTATACGGTAGTTTCGATGTCTAGTTAAAAAATTATCAGTAAAACTGTTGGTAAATAACACGAAATTTGCATGCTGGACCTCTATATCTTTTGCACGCAGAATAAAATTTGATCCCCGAATAAGTTTTTGACGTAACAATTTCGATACGCCATCAAAAAGAAAAGTAGGTTATAAAAATTAAATAAAGGCAATTGGTACAAAACGAGTTAAGTAAAAAATATGTTTTATTTATTGCTAACAATATACAATAAATAGAGAAAAAGGAAAAATAGAGGAGAAAATAGTAATGTACTCATATTATTAGAGAGGAAAAAATAAATTATTTGAAAAAAAGTTTAAAGTCGTATTAATTATTATTTTGAGTTTTTATTCACGAGGCCATGATGAGTATACTTTCAGAAAAAGATGCAGACACTATATCATAAATATACAATCAAAATCAATAGAGTCGTTGAAAATAAACATAACAGCACGGTAATCACATTTAACACAAATTATATATCATAGTGTGGAGTACACGTGGCGTTAGACCAAGCTTTATACATTTCTGAAGCATCTCTTTATTTTATTTTTATCTTAACATAAATAAATACTTCTATTATTATAATTATATATTATTTCATTAGTCACGAGGAACGTTCATTGGAATGTCTCAATATGAGTAAAAATTAAAAAGTACACATCAGTAAACGAGAGAAATCATTAACACCACTAGTTGCATTATACAAGAACGGTAAAGCTAATCGAACCCACAAATACGTGATTACCAACGGCCCATTCAAAAAGCGACTCTCAAGCACTAACATAAAGTTTAAAGTAGAACGCAGTCTTTAACACATAGAAGAGGAGAAAGCCGATGTACGCGCATGCAGTGTTAGGGGATGTCCCGAAACCGAACCAGCTAGAGGGGCCAATGGTAAATTGGTGCAGTGGCGAAACTTACAACTTCCTTATGCCGCTGTTGCGTTTCCAGGGGGCGTCGTCTGGCTCCGCCGGCAGGGGCCCTTGCACCGGCGCCTCGTCGTCCTCTTTCACTGTGGTGCTAACCGACGGCGACGTGTCGGAGCTGGTGCTGAAAAGGGTTAAACCCACTTTTGGGTTTGATCTTTGACGGAACAAACTCGAGGTTGTTTGTGCATTTGATACGCAATAAGTTTTTGTAGTTCAAGGTACGGTTAGAGGCAATTGGTGCCAGTTATTCTGTCTGTGTAATCAATCTATCCAGAGTTACACACACTCATCTCATTCAGTAAAAGCTGCCTATCTCTATACAGTGTAAAAATAGACAGACTTACCGAGTGCGATCCTTGGACAAGCTGACTAGCGTAACAACGTTATCTGGCCCCAACTAAGCATAGCTTTTACTATGGGCACTAGGTACCACATCCTCGAAAATAAAAAAAGCTGCGAGAATCGGTGCCACACCGTCGAAAATCAAAGAGCCACGGAAGCGGCTCCGACCGGGCGAGTGCCCTTGAACGAGCCCACGGACCTGTCTGGCTGCGTTTCGATCTGCAACGCCTGCAGCTGCTCCTCGGCGCGGTTCAGCTTCAGCTTGAGCTCGTTGCGCTCGTGCAGTATGGCGCGCAGCTCGCGCACGCTGAACGTCGGCTTGGACGACTGGTCCTCGTCGTCCACCACCTCGGGGATGCCCGCGCCGCAGGAGGTGCATTTCTGTTCGAATTCAAATATTTCCTCATTAAACAGTAGCTTTTCGACCGCTGCTTCGCAAAATTTCGCGTTTATAATATTAGTAAGGAATAGCTGTTAACAGCGGCTTCGCCCGCGCGGTTAAAGGGAATTACCAATGAGTTTTTTATTATACAGCACAGAATATCTCTCAGATGGCTTTTTCCTACTTAGTTGACACATAGCATTACCTATATTTTGCAAAATTTACACAATATCTTATATATTATAAATTACATAAATTAAAGCCTATAACACATACTGATGTGTAACACTATAATTTATATATATAATATAGGTTATACATCAGTATGACCTATATTATTGTAAAGTTTCATTAAAATCTATTCAGTAGTTTTTACGCGAAAGAGTAACAAACATACAAGCTTTCGTATTTATAATATTAAGGAAGTAAGGATAGAAGCATAACATTTACTTATTGATTATCAAAAAAATACTACTACCGGTTCGGACAAAAAGCTACCGAACCGAATAGAACCGGCTAAAGAAACTCAGCGGGTCATTAATATTTGACGGGAAATAACAAACATGTATACCATATATTAAATTCCACTTGAAAGAGCATTAATTTGCAGAGTGCGTTATCATTTAAATTATCACTAATACAATTATATCAAAATTTGTTGAAATAAAGCCAGTCAAAACGAAGATACAGTTGGCTAATCCAAACTCACTGTGTCACCTAGACTCGATGACGAGGACAGGGAGAAACAGATGTAATTCCCTATTCTTTAAATGGCGGTGCTAGTCCTACTGACGTTCCTGAAAGAGCAAGAAGTAACCATCACTGTGCCCAGTAAAAAAGAATCAACTCACCATTACAGTTATATAACCAAGAAGCGACGTAGGGGTATCCTACAATATAACAGATACGTCGTTCTGTTTCAAAAGGAAGTGTACAATAAAATTAATGGACGAATCCGACACGTCACAAGACTTGGGACAAGGTATAGGTAGTCTGCGCTAAATTGGCATCGATAGATACTATATAAAGAAAAACTATAAAAGCTTCGCATCGCTTTCGAAATCCTAGCTGAGCCCGAAAGTTTGAGAGCGTTACGGTGCATTTTTAAGATTCAAGCAATCCATGTACCCAAAACAACACATCGAAAATTTTAGCATAGCATAAAAAATAAAACCTCTGATAGATGTATGCTGTTATAGTACATGGTTAATAAACTGCGTAATATAATAAAATATATTATCTTTTTTTTTTTCAGCAGTATACAAAACAACTGTGGTTGAGCCACGCACTAGCTTCGTGCAACTGCGAGCGAATGGAAGCCTTACAGAAGACCGACATAAATTCGAACTATTCGTTCGTTCGTTAGTTCGTTTCGTTTTTTTTTTTTTTTTTTTTTTTTTCATTTCATATAATGAGTGAGGTAGCTGAGGCTGTCCTCAAAGGTTGGCAAAGCGACGACAGTTGTAGTATTAAAGATAAAAGTAGGACTATTATACATGAAGATGGACAGCCACCCGATACCCACCTATTCACATATTAAAATGATTATATGACGATCCTAACGCTGTTCAACATTTATCTCTGTTGCAAAGTGAAAACAAACGCTATCGACGGGGTGGAGACACTATCCAATTTTAGTGCGCTCCTAAAAACACAAAGTTGCATCCCATAAACGCGCATGACGCAATTCTGTTAGGTACGACATAAAAGTTCTATACATAAACTGATAAGGGAGATAAGACGTTTGAAGGTTGAAGGAGTAAATATGAATGACAACAACATACAGATAAAAAATAAAGTTAAATAAAAATGTTTATGATGAAGTAGGATTCCTGACAACCTTACCATCTGAATGGTGAATTTTATTTTAATTCTGGTGAATTATTTTTTGTTATATAGTTAAAAAGGCTCATTTATCGCCCATTATCTATATACTATTTTTATTAACCAGAAACCAGTCACTACTCAATTACTTGATGGTAAGTAAGATGTTACCTTATTGTTAGATGGTAAACGCAGTAGCTCAGGAACAACCTAGTCAGTCTTGAAATACACACTATAATCGGACGGGAAAACTGATATATGACTATACAACTATTATTTTTATGTTTCATGTTATAGTATAATATGTATTTAATGCTAAATATCATATGTATATTACCTTATTTTGTGCATCTGACTGCTGCAGCGCGGCAATATCTCTTTGCTGAGACTGGACAATGGCGGTTAGTTCAGAGCGTTCCTCGCATACTAAGCGTATCTGAAAACATTGTGCACAAAGGTGATACTTATATTCAGTATTACTTAAAATGGAGCATGAGTAGGTAGTGATACTTATATTCAGTATTACTTAAAATGGAGCATGAGTAGGTAATGTAAAACTTAACACATAAACTAACAACGACACCGCGGTCACAATGATTTTTTGCACGAAATAAATCCAAGAATATAGGACAGCTTTGATACTTGCTTCGAGAGTCGACTTCTCTAACTTGTATCTTGTATTAACTGATGTTTTTGCTTTGAGTTCCGAGACTATTAAAGCTTCATCTGACGCAGAACCGGTGGGCTAGCCAGGACCCACGGGTTTGGAACCTTCGCTATGGGTAGGGCCGCGCATGTGCTCATGCGTGCGTTTAACTATGGTGTGTCATCTAAGGGCCGTCGAGGTCGCGGTTCGGATCGAAACCCCGATGGCCGTCGACTGTGCAATTAGCTAATCGGCGGCTGGGAGCGGTGAGAACCGCCCCGGAACGCGGGTGTACCTTGTGTACGCGTTGTGTGGGTCTCGCCGTGGTCGGAGGCCAGGGCGAACTAGTGTGTTCGTTGTTGCACTAACTGTGGGTGTAGTGTTATCCGGTGGGACCCCCGGCGATGGGTCCGACGTATCTAAGTCCCCTTCCTCGACCGGGTCGATGAGGATGTTTCGCGGACGGCGCTTGTTGATGTTCGCGTTAGTGTCGGGTTGGTAATTTGCTGCGCTTACCACCGGAGGGTTGGGATGATGATGGGCTATGTCGAAGAACCGTTTGTTCAAATCTTTAAAATATGCGCGAATCGTCGGGAGTCTGCAATCGCTGTGCAGGTCGATGTTGCGCTGATACCATTGCGCACCGGTTGCGTGGCGGATAAACTTATTTTGAACTACTTGCCATTTGTTAATGCGAGTAGGGTTTGTATGAGCAAAGATCATGCATGCGTAGGACATGATAGGCCGTACGCAAGCTTCATATAATAGTAATTTGTGCCTTAAGGGCATACTTCTCTACTCAACCTTTGCGTTCTCTACAAGTAACAATCTGCCATTCGAGAAACAAATAAATCGCCTGAGCTCAAATTTTATCCAAGCTAGGCTGTTGAACATTACTTAGCGATAACGCTTAAGATTACTGTATGTGACACAAATTCCTAGAACTGTCAAACAACCGGACTGCGAATTTTATTGGAAAATTCTGTTTTTTGTTGTTACTGCGCTTATAATTTTTTCACAATACGTCTTGTTACCATCGTCATTATCATCATTTCAACCTGTTTGAGTCCACTGCTGAACATATGCCTCCCCGATAGACTGCCACGAAGTAAGATCCCGAGCCACCTGCATTGCGACTTCCCGCACATATGCACAGGTCGTCACTCCATCCAGTAAGGGGTCTTGGCACCATAATGAATTCCCAAGATTAAGACAATTCGATTGACGTAATAATTATCAAAATCGACCCAAGCGAAACAGAGAAACAAACATACATAAATAAATGATAAACACATAATCTAAAGAAAAAATCGGGTAAAAAGGTAAAGTTTTAGCAAAACAATTAAAACGGTAGCTGTTGCAACGTTACTAGGCAAAAAACATTTAAAACATACCAGTTTTTAAAATGTAAACCTAAAGAATTTATCTCTCTTATGAAGTAACCTTCGTTTTTCACAAGCTTATAACCGGATCTGACCGTTCAAGAAAAACACAAATAAAATAATTTATGGTTCACTCAACCTTTGAATATAGACGAAATAATAAGCATTCTCAAACTTAAGTTCCAATTTTATTACACTTATTGCGAAAGCTAGACATTTCGTTGGAGGCTTACTTTTACAGTTCGGGTGCCAACTTTAAAACTTTTGATATTTGTAAACTAAAGGAAGTACGCCAATTATATCAATGTTACTTTCGCAGTTACATGAGAGCGACAGTTTCTACAATTGCGCAATCTTCATGTCACATCGCATTGATGCTCGTTACTTGTAAAGACCACCTGCTCAAAGGAAACTAAATGGCGGCTGTGGTAATGTTTCTGTTATTCTGATGAGAAACCATGCCGAGCGAGACGTGATGAGAACGAATGGTCACAGCTTAGAAGAGGTCAATGGCCAGCAATGGAATGTTGCAGTTGCTGAGAAAAGAGAACGTCCCAAGCCCTCTCGACCCACTGACAGAGTAAAAGGCGAAAGCCTAAGAATTACAATATGCTATGCTAATCTAGCATATTACAAAAGTATTACCGAAATAAATTTCCCATAGCGATTAACCGAACAGAATTTTTCCTTGTTTCGTTGATTTGCAAATACAATGGCTGTTTGCGTAACAGATATTAGACTGATAAGTACGTGATTTGGTCAGAAACGCAGATAACTTGCAATGGTTTAGCGGGACCGATGCTCTATAATTTTCTATTGCTATGCGCCGACAATTTCCATTCAACAGGACCCTTATACGTGTATGAACGCAAATCAACAACAGATATTAAACAAGCGACATTTATAAGCGTGTTTTTACTATAAACTTATTTTTTAAAGATCGTTTGTGCCATTAGTATTGTGATCAAGTTGACTTTAACATGTTGTAAACATGTTTTCAATGTAAAACAATGGATAAAAAATTGACCCGCTGAGTTTCTTTTGGCGGTCCTTCTCATATCAGTGGCTTTTCTTTTCCGAATCGGTAGTAGTAGAATTTTGACATTCAATTAGTTAGTGTAATGCTTTTGTGTGGAATAAAGATATTTGAATTCGATCGAAGGACCAAAACTGCGACTATCTAACAGTAAAAACCAGACTCATATATTGTTTTTCTCCCAAAATCTAGCGATGTAAGTAGAAAATTCTCCGGAACATCCATTTTAAATCCCTGTTCTTGAAAACTGTCTGAAAAACTAAGTGATTCTTTATACTCTAGAGAAAATTTTATTGGCGTCACGCCAATTTAATTTAGCTACTAAGATAAAAGGGAATAGTTTCAGAAAGAATTTCTGTTATGAAATCAATGATGCAAAATAGTTACTTGGAAGTTAGTAAAGTTGTTAAACTTTGTGAACTCTAGATAGCATGTGAGCGAAGGCAGTATCTTGGTGAAACAAAGATGTCTTAAGATCCGCTTCAAAGGCTATTTATTTTATTGGGAGCTTAAACGTTTAGCTTTTCCACAGTTGATACCAGTATCTAGTAAGCATTGTTCAATTTATGAACAAAAAAGAACTGTAGGTGCAAATCTAAGATTTATAAGTTAGTACGTATTAAGTATAAGTTAGTAGTAAAGTCCGTCGTTTTAAATTTCCTTATATTAACCTTTACTTAACCTTAATTCTTTATGACGTTTTAAAACACTATTAGACATAGTTATTTGGATGCTTTCTTAGTATATAACCCTGATGACGTTCTTAAGCTATTCCCAATAATAATTCAGCTGTCCTTAAGATCTCCAGGTCTTGTTTAAAATTTTAGACAACAAATACGTTACTTACCAAAATCAGTACGCAAATTTACGTGACATTTCTTAAAGATTCTTTCTCCTGCGTATTTGTAAAACAGTCGCATGAAATGCCTAACCAAAATACCTGCATATATATCTATCACTACTATTGTCAATGGGTTTTGTATTCATATTATAATTCGATCGTTATATTAACGTTGAGATGAACAAAAAAATCAACTGTGGCTCTCGGAGACCGCGGTAAAGCTTTTGCATAGCATCGTTGGTCAACTTATGCAATTATAAATTTTTTTCATTGATATTTATATTAATAAATAATAATATTTTAATAATATAATTATTAATACGTATATTACAATTAATTATATCAAATTTATTTATATTGTTTACAAAAATGATAAGAACTACAAGTCAGTTAATAACCTGTTTGGATAGTTAAATTACAACATACTAACATTTTTAAACATTTTTAACTTATAAGTTTTACCATAGATGTTAACATTAAATTTTACTTGCTATTTATTATAAAACAACAAAAATATATACAAGTCTTTGGATAAAGACAGTATTAATACATTTGGAAATTGAAAACGGTTCTCGCACACGGCTATATATCCAAAGAACTTATGAGTTCATTGGATGTTATATAATATAATATCCAATTATACTTTTTTATAATATTCAATGAACGGTTTTTATACACAAACCAATTTTTTTTATTAAAAGTCTCAAGCGTATTATTTTCAAACATAAAATTAAATCATTTCCTAACGTTAATAATCATAAAATAAATAAATATATTTGTAGTTAGTTTAACAACTCCTCACTAACCGTCTCATATGGACGGAGTTAATTATACATAACCGTACGGCAGTTAAGATCTACTTGGGTAAAGATAATCTACTTTGGTGTGAAGGGTTCTTCTAGCCGTCTACGAATTATGTCATGAACGGGCGACGTCCAAAGTGGCTTTTAAACTACGAAAACGATAGTATGGTTGATAAGTAATTTTAAAATAGCAGGGTACCAGCATATCCTTTTGATACTAGAGAAAAGATAAAAGATAGGACTACGTAAGTAACTACTTTGATGTATTTTGTATGAACAACGAACATATGGTACTGAATATATTTATCGGTGCTAAAATAAAACAATACAAAATTATAAAATCACAAAATCAGTACAAGATACCTCGGAACTATAAAAAAACAAACCCATACCATAAAAAAGTGTCATTTGTGTTATATGTTTAATATCAATTTCTAACTGTTCTAGCTAGCTACATGTCTCTTATCGGAATCTGCAGTCACGACTACGAACAAGTCATTTGAATGGAGCGTTGATTATACGTTAGTTTTCATAATGAGCCGTGATAGCTCAGTGTCCGGGCGCTCGCCTTTAATTCAATATACTCGAGCAACCTGAGTTCGATCCCCGGTGCCGGCACCAATGAAGTTTTTAACTTTAAGTGCTGACTTATCACGTGCTTCGCGGTAAAGGAAAACATCGTGAGGAAACCTGCATATTTTCGATATAATAACAAAAAAAAAATTTTC